CACATTAATAAAAGTGATGCTTTAGCCTCCTGCTAACTGATATCTTGTTTCTCAACTGGTTCAGAACTCAGGCAGGGAATTGGGCTGTTATGAAACTGACTTCGCAGGCTTCATCCCAGGAGAAATAAATAGTAAAGTTCAAACGGCCTGGGCTTGGGTCTCAGCAACTTACTTGGTCAATGGCTCACCTTCCACATTCCCAAGATGGGTAATAATAATGCTACCTGCCTAATTGGGTTGTTTTATAAGAATAAATCAGTTAATCCTTGGACAGTACTTCGAGCAGTAACCACTCATAGTTACACTTAAGAAATGTAGCCAATACTATTCTGGCCAGGGTGAGGGTGAGGCCTGTTTCTAGGGCCTCTTTGAAGATAGTGTGCCCAATTTTTAATGGTTTGTTGGAATGGACATGTGATTATTTAACATTTAATAAAACCTAGATATGTGCACACCTTTGTTCTTGTCATCAGAAACTTGAAACTCATCCAAATTCTTGATGTTTATGGATTAGAATGGTTTCATCCAAAGAATTATGAGATGTCTTTATCTATATGTCTGTATGTTTTTCTACCTATTTTCCTACAGATCTGTACCCAGCTTCTTCTAAAACGTGTTTGAAGCTATGAGACAAAAGGACACTAGCTAATTTAGCAAAATACAGATCCCTCTAATTTGGATGTCATTGAAGTAGACTGTGGTAATTAGAGAACAAAGTTTTCATACAGAGTTTATATATCCACATAGAAACACAGGTTCACAAATAAATACATTCATTCAGCCTCTTTTTATAAATGCACGTGCATTTCGGGAAATGAAAATATCCACCCAAGTCAGGCTTGCACAGTTGCAGAGAGCACTGGGGCTGTTGGGTTTGTGAAGGAAACTTGGGTGCTTTTGCGCTTTCCTCAACTCCGCCAGCAAACTGGCACCTGTGTTAGTTTCCTACGGCTGCCAGGATAAAGCACTACAAACTGAAAGATGTAAGACCAGAGAAATGTAATCTCTCACAGTTCTGGAGATTAGAAATCTGAAATCAAGGGTTGGCAGGACTGTGCTCCCTCTTAAGTCTTTAGGGCATAATCCTTCCTTGCCTCTTCCAGCCTCTGGAAGATACCCCATGGCTTGCAGCTTGTCTTCATTTTCTGTTACTTTTAACAGAATACCAGAAACTGGGTAATTTTTGAAGAAAAAAAAATCGATTTCTTACAGTAATGGAGATTGAAAGGTCCCAGGTCGAGGGTCTGCATCTGGTGAGAACCTTCTTGCTAGTGGGGACTCTGTAGAATAGAGCAGCACAGGGTGTCATGGTGAGGGGCCTGAGCATGCTAATGTGTTCACTGATGTCTTTCTTCCTCTTCTTATAAAGCCACCAGTTCCCCTCCCATGATAATCCATTAATCCATTAACCCATTAATCTATTAATTTCTGCCCTCATGATCTGATCACCTCTTAGAGTTTCTTTCAATACGGCCACTTGGGTGTTAAACTTCAACATGATTTTTGGAGGGGACAAATAGTCAAACCATAGCACAGCTATAACACTTTAATCTCTGCATTCACAGTCACATGGCATTCTCCCTGTGTCTCTGTCTTCCCATGATGTTTTTCTCTTCTTAAAAGGATATCAGTCATATTGCAATTAGGGCCTATAATAATGACCTCATCTTAACTTATTACATCTGCAAAAACCCAATTTCCAAATAAGCTCACATTCACAGGTACCAGGGGTTATGACTTCAACTTGTTTTTTGTGGTAGAGGGAAGGTGTACAACCCAGTCTATACCAGGGCTACTTTCTCATTTTCTCTTGTTTTACAAGGAAACTTGTTAAGTGTCCACAATGTGAAGGTAGTTGTGAAGATAGTTAGGCTGTGTGGACAAAGAAGAGTGGCTTCAGGAGGGGAATTTGTAAGGCAATAAACACAATAGATGGTTTCTTGTGCTTGGAACTGCTTTCAGTTTGCACATTCAAAAGGGAGTCCTTCTTACTCTTCCTCTATGGGATCTGCTGCCCCACATAGAGTCATCAACAGAGCAACTATGGGGGACAGAGAGACAAGGCCTTTGACTGTTGCCATGGTGAAAGCCAATAAGAAGTGTTCATTCTCCATGCTGCTTCCTGGCAGAACATCCATTGATTCATTCATTCAATGACATTTAATGAGCTCCTAAAATGTGCTAGGCACTGTTCTAGGTGGAAAAATACATTGGTGAACAAGAAAGACAAAATTCCTATTCTTAAGAAGCTTGCATTATATTGGAGGAGACAGACAACAAATAAGTATATAAATCACATTATTTTAGACAATATGATAACATATAAATCATATTTTAGACAAGAATTCTAAAAATATCTAAAATATATAAATCATATTTTAGAAAATAATGAGCACTCTAAAAAATAAAGCATGGTAAGAAGGCAGAGAATGTTGGGAGTAAAGTGAGAAGCAGATTCTTCAGGCAAGGTCTCCTCAAAGGGCTGACATATGGGACTAGATTTGAGTCATGTTAAAAGTTAACCTTCCAGGTAGAGGGGACAGCGAGTGCAAAGACCATGAGGATGGTATGAACTTGGAATGTTTAAGGAACAAAAAAGCCCACCTGGAGTGAGTGAGGGGCAGAAAGGGGAGAGAGGGACCTGTGAAGAGAGGCAGGGATGATATAAGATGTTTGGATTTTTCTAAAATATGATGGAAAACTCCAAGAGGAATTTTAAGCAAGAAAGTGTGACCTGATGCATATTACGCAACACAGACCATGACTACTGAAGGCAGGGGTGACTGAATCACACAGGGAAAGAACAGAGGCAGAGAACAGCATTGAGCCTACAGCTGTAGCCTATGGAAGAGATAATGATGGGTTGGAGGAAGGTGGGAGAAGGAGACCTGGTGAGAAGGGAAATTTGATTTGGGATTATTTCTTTAAGGTATACTGACAGGGCTTGATGCTTTGTATGTGGGGACACAGGGCAAGTCAAAGAGGACCCTGAGTTATTTAGTTGGATCACTTGGTGAAGGCTCATGTCATGTCCTTAGAAGTCAGCAGTGAGAAATTTAAGAGAAGGGAAATTTCAAAAGTCCTTATTTGGCCATATAGCTATTTGTCATGATCATTAAAATATTTTTTAAAAAGCTTTGAGATATAATTCACATGCCATACAATCCACCCATTTAAAGTATATAATTCAATGTTTTTTACTACATTGTGAATACCTGTGAGAGTTTTACATCCATCACCACAATCAAATTTAGAGCCTTTATATTACCCCAGAAATAGCCCCTGCATTTTTAGCCATTACCCCCTAATCCTCCCTAACCCCAAGCCCTAGACAACCACTAATCAGATGTTTTGTCTCTATAGATTTGCCTATTCCTGACTTTTCATAGAAATGAAATTGTATAATATATGGTCCTTTGTGACAGACTTCTTTCACTTAGCATGATATTCTCAATGTTTGTCAATGTTGTAGTATGTGAATGCTTCATTTCTTTTTATTGCTAAATAATGTTCCATTATATAGGCATTTTATATATTTTATTTTATTTATCCACTTATTTGTCAATGGACACTTGGTTTCTACTTTTTGGCTATTTTGAATAATGCTCTAAACACTTATGTACAAATTAGTATATAGACATAGGTTTTCATTTACCTTCTGTGAATATCTAGGGATAGAATTGCTGTATCATACAGCAACTCTACGTTTAACTGTTTAAGAACATTTTACATTCTAACTGGCAGTATATGAGAGTTCCAGTTTCTCCATATCCTCACCAACATTTATTATCTATTTTATTCTAGCCATCCTAGTGGGTGTGAAGCGGTATCTCACTGTAGTTTTGCATTTTCCAGATGGCTAATGATGTTGAACATTTTCTCATGTGTTTATTGGCCACTTGTATATATACCTTGGGGTAATATCTATTCAGATCTTTTGCCCATTTACCTGGCCTTTTATTGTCTTGTATTATTTAGTTGTAATAGTTTTTTAGTAGACACAAGTTCCAATCAGATGTCTTACAAAAATACTTTTTCATTTCATGCATTGTCTTTTTACTTAATTGATGGTGTCCTTTGAAGTACAAATGTTTTTAGGTTTGATGATGTGACCACATTATACTCAAGATGTCTAATAGGCAGGTAGATATGTAAGCCTGGGGTTCAAAATAGAGGCTGCGGATAGAGATGCACATTTGAGAGTCATCCATGTACAGATATTATTTAAATCCGTGAGGTGGGATGAGCTTAACAGGGAGGGAGGAGGAAGTGTGGCTGGAAGGGAAGGGCTGAGGAGTGAGTCCTGGGGCTCTCCAATACTTAGAGATCAGGAAGAAGAGGCCATACTGAAGGAGAGGGAGGACTTGGGATTTGGCATCAGGTAAGATGTTTCAATGGGGCTTCCACTAAGCACAGGTCTCACTGTACCATCTCACCATCAAGCATATACATAGCCATGTGTACCTTCATTGTCACTACAGAAACTTGGTGGGCCCATTCTATGAAGGTAACCTTAGCTTAACAGGCCTACACACTCAAAATCCCTCACTTAAGGATTGCACTTATAGGAGGAGACTGCAGTACTTAGTTATCTAGGAAAGTTTTATGACCTTGTTGAGATTAACTTGTGTTACTGTTAATGGATGTTATGCTGCAAAGCTATGACAGAACATGTGTCTTGCCTTTTTTTTAATGGGACAAGTAAAAGTCCCATCCCACAGGACCAGCTAATTAATTACACAAATACTTTAAAGATAGAGAGCTCCAAAGATCTTACCCATACCACCTTTTCCCCTTGCTGGGATGACTGTACTTTTAAGGATTCTGGGCTTTCTTAAATCAATAAAAGGGCCTTGGAAACAACAGTCCAAAGCACTTAAGGCTGTTCCTGCTAAGGTGTACTTAAAGAATGCAGAGGAGAGAGAGGAAATGGTTCTTACAACACAACATGAAGTATGGTGGCCTTGTCCACAAAAGCCAAAAAGTCTTGGGAAATCCTATTTTCTTTAAGATGTGTCATTTTAATGTTAGCTTTAAATGCAACACGCTCCAGGTGGAAGAAAAAACATGTGGACTCCATTAACGAAAATAAACAGTCAAGCAGACAGATTTCCTCTGGGCCTTAGTTGAATCTGAGTTGGAGTCAGCTGACATCAGTTTACCTCTTAATCATTCAGCTCAGCTTCTGGATTGCACAGCAGACTTCTTGAGTTGGAATTCACCTGCTTGTTCGCTTTCTTTTTCATCTGCCAAAGGACCACAACATAAAGAGCCAAGTGGGACAGTGGCTTGCACACAGAAATATCTAGAAAAATAGGGCAGAGACCAGAAGAGCATGTTAGTGAAACCTTCTCTCTTTATAAGCTGCGCTGCTAATTTTGTGAACTTCCCTGGAGTACTGGGGTCAAAGTTGTGTAGGGGTTACGGATATACGAAGTGAAAGTGGGTGCAAGAAGTGAGAAGGGCACATTCTTATTAGTGAAGAGGATTCTGAAACGTTGGAATTGGTTTCCAGGAAATGAGGGAGGGCTGTTTTGAGGTTTCCACGGACTCCTCTGCGATCCCTGTTGTGAATAACAAAGGGATAGTGGTGGTGAGGTGGGGCAGGGGTTCAGAGAGACTGGGAAGACTGAGCAAGCCAGGTAACTTTAAATTATGTGGGGCTCATTTGGCATAAATTAGAGGCTGTCATTTCAGATTTCACGACTTTACATATCCAGTTAAAAATAGCATTCCTAGATGTTAGTGGGACAATTAGGAAGTGGGACAGAAGTCTCAAACCTGCGGGATCTTCATAGGGAAGGTCAGGTCCTGAAACGGTCGCATAGAGGGGAGAGGACGCATTCTCTTCTTGCCCATAAGTAGAAACAAAGCCCAGCTTTTCTCTCCAGAGAATGGTGTGGTGGGGGAGGGAAAAGAAGGTGGAGGTCCCGGAGAAATTGCAAATGAGGCCAAAATGTGACTATGAAAGAAGAGTAGGTTTTTGATAATACCATTAAGAAAATCAGGCAAGAAAAAAAAAAGATGGTTAGGAATTACCCCTATGTGGCAGCATCTGCCCTGCAGAATGAGGTTTGCAAATAGACTTCCCAAACCCCAGCCACAGCTCGCTCTGCCTAGAGAACCCCTTTTCTGCACCCCCACTTCAGCGCCCTCTTCCTGCACCCCTAAAGAGGGTACTCAGTCATAGGGGTTCACCCGGAGTGCGGAGACAGAAGGTACAGGTGGTGAGTGGGGATTCAGCCATCATCCCCCTCAGGTCCCTCCCCACCCAGCTGACAGGGCGAATCCCGAGTAACTGTTTTCCGAGGGGCCGTGCGCACTCGGTGGCGCCGCCTCCGTCTGGGTTCCCCTGAGGAAAATTGCCCACCCGCGAGGGTTCGGCGGCTTTTCCACTCTGTGGGGCTGAACTGTGGCAACTTCGGCGGCCCCCACCGCGGTGCGGAAGCAGAGACCACAACCGCGGCTCGGCAGGGCTGGAGCGCTTGAAGCCGTGGGGGTGCCGTGCGCCTCGCGCTCCCTCCTTTCGGCCGCAGGTCCCGGGACTCCGACTTCGGTGCTCCGGGTGGTAGCGGCTGCCGCGCCAGCAGTCCAAATCCTAGCAGTTCCGCGGGGGAAGGAGGCGAACTGAACCGGCCCCCAGTGCGGAGCGCAACCAGCCAGAGTAGCCAAGCCCGCGCTCGCTCCTGCCCCGGCTCCCAGGCGAACGCAGCCGCAGCGGGGGCCAGGCACCAAGCCCCGCGCCGCCGCCGCCGCCCGCGGTGGGGGCGGGCTGGGGGCGGGGCGGCCGGGACTGCCTTAGCCGGCGCGTCCCGGAGCGCAGCACCCGGCGCTGCGTAGCCACCTCCCCCGCAGCCCGCTAGCAAGTTTGGCGGCTCCGAGCCCGGCGCGCCTCAGGATCCGGGCTCATTTGTTTCCACCTAGCTTCGGTTCGCCCTGCTAGGCGGGGACCCTCGGGAGCGATGCCGATGGATGTGATTTTAGTTGTGTGGTTCTGTGTGTGCACGGCCCGGACAGGTAAGCAGTACTGGGGCGGTGAGAGGGATCCGGGAAATGGGAGAGCCCCGCCGCTTCGCCCAGAGCGCACAGCTGCGTGGGGAGACGGAACCGAGCTCTGCGCTGGCCTGGGGAACGGCAGTAGCGTGGACAGCTTCCTGGGGTCTCTTTGCCCTGCTCGGAGTGACAGGGTGAGAAGCGGGACTCACGGGCTTGAAGGTGTCCCCGCTGAGTGCCCCTTCTCGGGGGACGCGGCCTCGGGGACGCTGGTGTGAGGGGCGCGGCCGAGCGGGCGCACCCTCTTGCAGCTAGTAACCAGCTTTCCGGTCCCAGGGAGTCGAAACCCGCAGCAGGGCGGGCCTGCGAGCTCCAGGTCCCCAAACTTGAAAGGCGCTGTGGAAACTGCTCTCGCCGCCCCCGGCCAGGCTGGGAAGGGGTAGATGCGGGAGTCGCGCCCGCAGAGGGAGCGCTTCCGGCTGGCGGGCGCGGCCCGGGCCTGGAGGGCGCGGCGCGGCGCGGCGACCGGAGAGAGCTGCGGGAGAACACTGGGATCCGGCGATCTCCTCCTGTTCCTTCCTGACTACCCCTGAGAACTCCAGGAGTATTCTTCTCCAACCCTCTTGGCTCGCAGGAGCTGGGCGAACAATTATTTAGGGGAAATGGAGCAGTGGAGACAATCTGGGGAAATTTTCTCAAGCTCAAACCAGTTTTCTCTTGCTATAATCGCAGGGTTGGGGTGGGGAGGGGGAACAAGGATGATGCGTGAATCTGAAGTCCCCACTTGGTTCTGCCTCCGGAGACGCAGTTGTGAGGACTCTCAGCGCGTCTTCCTCCTTCTGCTTCCACCAGCTCCCTTGCCCACAAGTCCCCTGGGGTTCGGAGACAGGCTTTCAGCCGCTTTCTTCAAAGAGCTAGTAGTAGACGCGGGGAGACTGGGGTGAGGTGGGGTGGGGTGTGATGTGGTAGAAAATTGGCAAAAATAGGGCCTGTCAATTGGGGGGAGTGTCGGCGGTTTGCAGTCCTACCCGGCCATCCTCCGTACGCGCTGCCGACTTCGCACCCTAGAATTTGTGTGGTCATCCTCTCTCCCTTTATTCTCCCCACTTTACCACCCCTATTTCCTTCTCTAGAGGCGTGGCTTTCTCTAGGCCAAAGAGCGGAGAGGGCTGAGGAGGGGCGTCTGCCCTTGGTTGTTTGGCCCAAAAGTTCCCTCCGCTTGCGCCCAGGCGCCCCTCTTTGGCAGTTAGCTCGCTGGAAGATATAGCGTCTAGGAGCTGAGAGGGCCCTTCCAACTTCCCCAGGACTGAGCAGGCAGCGGCTTTCGTCGGCTTAAGAACGTCGAGTATGGATTTCTCCAGGGACAAAAGAAACCTCCCGTTTCGTTCCTGAGCTTCACAGGCTGCGGAGACGCCAAGGCTCAGTCTAGCTTAGAATAGTTGCTTCTTGAGTTCAGGCCCATCAGGACTGGTTAATCTTTTAAAACCAGAACATGCTGAAGGATTGCGCGAATCCCAGGAAGATCAGGACAGGCAAGGCTAGTAAGTGCAGAGCGTGGGCTACCAGCCCTGAGCACGAGAGTCTGGTGCTCGTGGACATCTTAAAGAGGAACCGCAGACAGGGCGAAACTAGACAGGGAGGGGACTACCCGTTAGTCAGTTCACATCCCTAAGTGCACATCACTATGGAATATGCCTAAATTCTTTGTTCTCATGACTCCTTTAAAAAGTCGCCAAAGTACCCTTATCACAGAATGGAACATTTTTCAGGGTTCATTGCTTGTGGAGGGGATCTTTAAGAACAAGATATTTTCCCTCTTTCCACTACCAGTCCCCTTTAAATCTTGTAAAATTCTGGTTGTAGGGGAAAATTCATTCATGTTTTTATGCATTCAACAAACGGTGTCTTGCTGGGTGCCAGGATTTCTTATGCAAACAGAAAATGAGTTAGTCCTTGACTTCCAGGAACTTATAGCATAGTTGGGAATCTAGATGGAAACTGGCAAGCATTTTAATTTTACAGATTGATGGGGGGGTGATGGAGAGGTAGGAGTATAAGTCTGTATTAAGGAAATATGGAGGAGGGACAGTTTGAATTAATTCTGCGGAGGAGTGGTGGTCATGGATTTGAGAGTTGTGCCTTCAAGGCTTTGTAGGGAGTTTTCCAGGTGGACAAAGTGGGAAGGCATTCTAGGATGAGGGAGCAGGTTGAGCAAAGGCAGGGAAGCATGGAAGGATCTGGCACATTGGTTGTGGCTGTTACCTAGGGAGCTTGGGTTTTCAACACCACTTGGCACTACTCGAACACTAGACGCCACATATTTCTTCTACACACATTATCAGAAGAATCAGAGAGACGGGGAGTGGGGTGGATTACCTCTCAATTTGTACACTTAAAATATCTTGTAGCTGGAGAGGATATAAGCAGTAGCTTTCTGGGGGCAGCCCCTTTGATTTTGTCCAGGTATCACCATTTCCATATCACCCATTCACCCTCACCTTAGGTAACAAAGGCTGACTTGTGATTAGTTTATCAGGATCCAAACAGCTGCATGAAAAGTTTCTTTGTCAAGTGTGACAATTGTTGTCTGGGCTGTTAACAGTCCTAGATGAAATAAACATGTGGTTCACTTAGTGCCTGCTCAGGTATCACCGCCTTTTAAAGGAACTGAGTAGATGATATCAGGCACATTTTAATTAAAGCAAGACTGCCGTGCAGACACAGTGCATATGAAAAGATCTAAAGATAGGGGTCATAAGGAGTTGCTAAAATCTGCCTTGTTCAGAGAACTTGTTTTAAGAGTGCAAAGCGGAGTCAAGACGGGAGGTGCGGTTCTCCAGTTTTTATTTCTGGTTGAGAAATAATTCAGAGATTTTTCAGGTACATCACTAGTAATAAAAATTTAAAAGGCTACGATGATAGAAGTAATAACACACTATCTCTATGAGTTTTCTCCAATGCTTTGGCAGTGTTAATAATCGAAAACTCAATAATTATTCCCCCATTGCTTTCCGGTTTTGGTCACCACGGTAGAGGGTAAAGGGAGTACAAAGCCCCTGCTGACCAAGTGAATGTTTTTTGCTGCCACCTGCTGGAAAGGAGAGATTTTCTTTCTTTCTTTTTTTTTTTTTTTTTGAGGACTTTGGCTCTTGTTCCCCAGGCTGGAGTGTAATGGCACAGTCTGGCTCACTGCAACCTCTGCCCCCTGGGTTCAAGCGATTCTCCTGCCTCAGCCTCCCGAGTAGGTGGGATTACAGGCATGAGCCACCATGCCCGGCTAATTTTGTATTTTTAGAAGAGACTGGGTTTCTCCATGTTGGTCAGGCTGGTCTCAAACTCCCGAACTCAGATGATCTGCCTGCCTTGGCCTTCCAAAGTGCTGAGATTACGGGTGTGAGCCACTGCACCCAGCCAAGAGATTTTATTTTTGAAGGAACTCTCTGGTGGATCATTACTTATGAATTGAATAATGGAGCTGTGAATGTGAGCCCCCAGCCTCCAAGGATCATGTAAAATATTGGCCAGCTTGGAACAGGCGTAGAGCATATTCTTCAAGAAAATTGCTTTTGGAGTATTAAGGACCTTTTTAGGTCCCCAGAGGTCCAAATCTGGTTAAGTGGTTGTAAAATTCTGTGGTTAAATGAGCTCTTGGAGCATCATTCTAGCATTATTTTAGTCTGCATGGTCCAGAGGAAAACAGACAGCGTCCACCATGGACGAGGAGCGGGAGGAAATTTAAAGTCAGCCAGACCCAGGAGGATTTGCCTGGAAGCCTATGCCTGGGACCCCAAAGGTGAACTGAGTGGGCTGTGGGCCTGAGCACTCCCTGGGTGGGGGTGAGGAGCAGCCATCAGCAGCAGCAACAGGTATCTTTGTTAAGAGTGGAGGTTCTGAATCTCAGAATCAGGCCTCAAGTGCCTCTGTGACATTGACATGCTGCCTTCCAGGTTTTAAAAATATTTCTTCCCCAGGAGCTTTTTCTCTTGCTTAATTGGAATTCCCAATCTCAGACATTTGTAGAGCCATTATGTCCAAAGTAGAAAACTTCAATAGAGTTTTCTAGGAAAGGGCAGGAGCTCCATGCTTGGACAAGAAGCAGAAACATTAATTTTTTTTTTTTTTTTTTTTTTTTTTTTTTTAATGAGACCAACAACACTCACACTACATAAGGTTCAGGAGATCCCATGTAAATGCTGCCTTATTAATAGGCTTTGTGATTCCCTAGGCAGTGTGCAAAGTGCTATCCTTTACACATCCTATTATGGGCAGGAGACATTTTCATACTGATGGGGACCAATTAAAGGGAGATAAGAAAACTGTATGCAGAAGCCTAATTGATTTCTTTTTTGTTGTATTGTTTTTATGAGCTGTTTTCATAATAAAAGCAATACACTTAAAGCCAGAGAAGTTCCTTCACTTTTGAGTTGTGGGTGGGGAGCTGGGGACTGAATATAGGTTTCATAAATGGATTTTACAAGCAAACCTAGGGTGAGAGGCCCTTCTAGGTCAGTTGGGTGTGGAGAGGGGTTGGGAGAAAAGGGGCCATCTGTATCTTTTGTATGATTCCAGTGGAGTTGAGGACCAGGGAGCTGGAGTGGTCTGGAGAACTGGTCTTATTAAAGACAGATTAAATAGCCCCCAGCTGGGTACCACCTATGTGCCAGATTGAGCTGTTGAAGTATGAATATAGTTTCCCCTGAGACCTCATGAGTCTGTTGTAACAGGTACCAGTATCTTTTTACACATGGTAACCCAAACCATGGAATTTTCTTTAGCATGAAGTATGAAGACACCCGTGTTAGCACTGATATAGAGTACTGGAGTTCTGAAGTCTCTGCTTCAGCAATTGCTTCAGGGAGGCAGGTATTAACATTCTTATTTTGTGGATGAGGAAAATGAGCCTCTGATACGTGAGTG